ATCTGAAATAAATAGGGAGAGAGGGGGAGGCGGATAGAAGATGGATAGAGGAGAAGATAGGTGGAAAGAAGACAGACAGGTCAAAGAGGTGGGGATGGAGCCAGTAAAGGTGAGTGTAGGTGAGGAGGTAGGGAGGAGATAGGTCAGTCCAGGGAGGATGGACAGGTCAAGGGGTTGCCTTGTCCCCGCCTCCCTAACCTCCCACCTATCCCCTCCTCCCACCTCAAGCCCCACCCCCATCTCCTACCTACTAACCTCATCCCGCCCCCTTGACCTGTCCGTCCTCCCTGGACTGACCTATCCTCCTCCCTACCTCCCCACCTACCCTCAGCTTTACTGGCTCCATCCCCGCCTCTTTGACCTGTCTGTCTCTTCTCCACCTATCTTCTCCTCTATCCATCTTCTATCCGCCTCCCCCGCTCCCTATTTATTTCAGAACCCCCTACCCCTCCCCCATTTCTGAAGAAGGGTCTAGGCCCGAAACGTCAGCCTTCCTGCTCCTCTGATGCTCCTTGGCCTGCTGTGTTCATCCAGCTCTACATCTTGTTATCTCAGATTCTCCAGCATCCGCAGTTCCTACTATCTCTATCAACAGTGATAGGTAGCAAAGGAGAGGAGTGAGAGGGATCAGTGGAACTACCATATACTTGGGAAAAGACCAGGAGTTCCCCAACTTCAGCCCAAGAGAAGTACAAAGACTATATGATCTCGGGGCAAATACTCAACCACATTCCACAGCACAGTTTCAGGATAGATGAAGTGCACTCGTGTAATGGTTACACAATTTTTGTTGTTTAAAAAACTAATGTATCATAACTAACCTGCTGCTTCTTAACAAACCCATTAAGCCATCAGAAAATTGCTGCAAATTTTGCTACTGCCTATATTAGGTAACTGTGATCAAAACCCCGCACCCGCTCCCCCCCACCAAATTCAACAACTTACTGATCTACCAGTGCTCTTCACCTGTATCTCCTCTTCAAGAAGTGCCTCCTGTGCTCTCAGGCTCTGTCCCTATAAAACTCATTATATTTTTATGGTACAGAATCAATATTTTTCAGAAAGTAAAAATGTCACTATAATTTCAGCATCTATGGGCTGAATTTTACAAAAATTCGTTTAAACATCAATATTCGCAAGTTTCATGGAGGATCTTTCTTCATGAACCCTAATGAATCTTTTCACCACTACCTTCTCAAACTCGCCACATTACCCATGTACCCATCATTTCCTCCTGCTTGTCACAAATTGAAATACTGGCCACTGCCAGGACATCCTGGGATTCCTGGCATTAATACCATCTTTAAAGGCCTGTCTTGCACCTGATCAAGCACTGGCAGGCTGCATCTGCCCTAAACTGTTCATTTCATGTGCCCCAGACATGTCAGACAGAGAGTAATTGGCATTCTGCTTTGTCAATGTGGACTGCGTGTGAATGCTACCTATGGAGTATGCTGAGATGTTGGTAACTGATGGGGGTCTTGAGGAGCAAGTGGCAAGATGGAGTCAACAGCTTACGACTCGGATTTTCATGTCCAGAATTGTCACTGTCTAGTTTGCATGTGGCGTGTGGGAGAGTGGGAAACTGCATATCAAATAAGGTGGGTTATGTCATAATGAGGATGTTAACGCAAGGTATTGCATACGAATAGGCTCGCGCTGTTCACTAGCTAGAATCTCATGTTGTCAAACAGCACTTCTTTGGAAAATGGATCTTATTGCTCTTAATGGCAAGAAGCTCCGTGTATGATACTCCCTAATTTCTTACCAATGTCCCCATTGTTCAAAGGCTGAAAGGATTCCACCGTATATTTCAGACTGACAGCTTTACAAATCCATTTCAATCAAACTTTAGTTTCTTTGCAATAAATGCTAAGAATACTCAGCAGTTGGTTGGTTGTGATTTGCATTCTTCCATGTGCAAGATATGATGCGAACAGAGCCTCAGAACTTTGGTGATATCAGATGACATCAGATGAGTTCCTATCAGAGTACTTTCAGTTACGAAATCCATTTTATTTTAATAACCGATTTGTATTGTGTATTAGCCAACAATCTATGAATATTGTAGAATGCAGGGGATAGTGTGTTGGACTATTATGTTATGGTTTATACATTGCATTTTACCGAGTAATAGGATCAAGGGGATTGGTTGGAATGCTTTCAAGAGCTTACTCAGAACAGTTCAAGGATGATTAGACATTCAGTTTTAGTGAATTGTAGTCTGACTTGCATGAGGAGCAGCTACCCACTTGTGCTCCCATTCTCTGCAAATCCTCGTGAATTGAACACTTGCTAGGCCACCATATTTTGGAATTTACCTCACTGTCTGCGGTGTCGAAAATCAGCCAGCTACAACTGATCCACACCCCAGTGCCAATAGTTTGTGTGTCCTACATGTTCTCCACTACGGATCAATACATGGAGAAGACACTTTTCTCGAGTTTAAATGTCACTTGGTCAAAGTGCTTTAAGATGAGAATCTGCAGCATTTTACATTTTTCTCAGGTATGTAGTACTTTTCAAGAAGAGGATTTTTAAATATATACATATGCATAACCTAAACCTTATATTCTTAATAATCATTGCTTGAGAAAGTCTTGTTTGCAATAAATTATTTGTTAATGAAAGAAACTTGGTTGACTTATTTCTGATACTGAACTAAATACAGTTTGACACCTATACATAATTGGTATTATCACTGTCCTTTTTAAAATTCAAAACTTCGTAATGACCAGTGGAGGGGTAAGATGAAAACAAAAATGATTCAGTTCATCCCTCCAACCTCCACTGTAACATTCCTTACCTGCAAATTTCAAAGGAGCAAGTTTTGTGGATGATTGGGGTGACGTTCTTCTCTGAATACCATCATTTATTGCACAAAGTTTACTATTGCCACCAGCAGTACATTGTATGTTGAAAGCCAATAAAAAAAAAATCAATAAAATCAACTTGACTAACAAAACGAGAGGACCAGCCCTTAAATGAGCACTGTAACAAAAATCAAATCATGAAACGATATTTGTATTAAAATGAATTATGTTGTTTGGGGGGTGGGGGGAAGAGGGCAGTGGTGGCACAGATGTGTTATATTCCAGCTCCCAGTGGTGCACATTGGCCATTAAGTCTCCAGCCTGCCAGCAGGATCTGGACAATATCCAGGCTTGGGCTGACAAGTGGCAAGTAACATTTGCGCCACACAAATGCCAGGCTACGAGCATCACCAATAAGACACAATCTAACCACCACCCCTTGACATTCAATGGTGTTACCAACACTGAATCCCCCACTATCAATATCCTGGGGGTTATCATTGACAAGAAACTCAACTGGACTCACCACATATTAACAGTGGCTATGAGAGCAGGTCAGAAGCTAGGAATAGTGCAGTGAGTAAATCACCTCCTGACTCCTTGAAACCTGCCCACCACCTACAAGGCACAAGTCAGGAGTGTGACGGAATACGCCCTACATGCCTGGATGAGTGCAGCCCCAACAACGCCCAAGAAGCTTGACGCCATCCAAGACAAAGCAGTCCACTTGATTGGCACTACATCCACAAGCATCCACTCCCTCGATCACCAACACTCAGTAGCAGCAGTGTGTACTATATACAAGAATCACTGCAGAAATTCACCAAAGATCCTCAGATAGCACCTTTCAAACCCATGACTAATTCCATCTAGAAGGACAAGGGCAACAGACATGTGGGAATACCACCACCTCCAAATTCCCCTCCAAGCCACTCATCATCCTGACTTGGAAATATATCGCCATTCCTTCACTGTTGCTGGGTCAAAATCCTGGAATTCCCACCCTAATGGCATTGTGTGTCAATCTACAGCAGGTGGACTGCAGCAGTTCAAGAAGGCAGCTCACCACCACCTTCAAGGGCAACTAGGGATGGGCAAAAAATGCTGGCCAGACAGCAATGTCCACATCCCACAAATGAATAGAAAGAAAAGGCACCACATGCTCCCTCACCAGAGGCATTTGGGCGTGGACGTAACCACTGAGAAGAGGCAGGGAATTGAGTCCAACAACCGATTTCTCAGGCAACTGCCTATGACTTGGCCAAGCCCAGGAACACAGACAAGGTCATCTGACTTGGGTGCCAATACTCCTCTGCCTCACCCCATCACACCAACTGGTCAAAGAATAAGAACAAGGGCAGAAGTGCAGCCAAAAATTAAGAAGCAACCCCACCAAAAATACAATCAGGGCTGTAAACATGCACACTATGTGCGCACATGCAACAGATTCTTCAAGGCTGCAAAAATCAGAAGCCATCTGGGAGGCCATGAACCACCTTAACCTCGAATGCATTGGAACACTGCATGCAACACTCTGCATGTCAAATCCCTGACGGTGAAGCAGAAGACTCTAACACTGAGAGCCTCCCACAAAGGGGTCTGTTGCCTCTGGATGGCAGGACAGAATGTCCAGGCATGTCAAATGATTCAGGAGGGTGAGGAGGTAAAGAGTGTGCAGCGGAACTCTGTATAGTAAGCCTATCTATTTAGTATGGAATAGTGAAACCCCAAATTATAGACTGGATTTTACTTGCACTTCGCCAGCAAAAGAAATTATATAGGATCTTTAACATAATAAAACACAGCTCATAGCAGATTCACAAAGCAAAATGCTACATTGAGCCACATATGTATTATTAACTAGGTTTGATGAGATCAAATGCAGACTTAGTGACTACTTTATTGAACACTTTGCTCTGATGGTAAGAATGACCCCAATCTGCCAAATGCTTGTAATTTCAACACATCATTTTGCTATCATGCTAACATTTCTGGCCTTGGCCTGCTGCAATGCTCCAGTCAAGTCCAATACAAGCTGGAGGAACAGCACCTTATTTTTCACTTAGGCACTTTACAGCCTTCAATGCACAACATTGAGATAGACTATGAACACTGTCCTCCATTCTGATTACACTTTAGTCTCCACTCTGACCACCACCCATACACCATTACCCCTCCCCCAAAAGTCTTTTTACACGGTTTGCTCTCAGGAGAGCTGACCTATTTGCTGCTAAAAACACCTACCACCATCTATACCTATTTTTTACTTCCAAAGCAGTCTCTTTATCTTTTACTCTGGGCACCCCCACCCCATTATCAACAGCATAAAGGCCATATATTCCAGCAATTATCAATTCCAAAGAGGACTTGGAGTCAAAATATTAACTCTGTATCTCTTTCTACAGATGGACCCAGACCTGCTGCTTTTCAGCACTTTCTGGTTTTATTTCCAATTTAAAACATCCCAATGCTTTGCTTTTATTTGCACAGGAAGGTGCCTTCTCCCCCAGCTCCAACCCTAACCTCACCATCAAACCTGCAAATAAGGGAGCCTTTACATAGCCAAGGCCCGCCGCCAACTTTCTGACACCTCCCCCTACCGCCTCCTCGATCATGACCCCACCCCTGACCACCAACCCATCATCTCTCAAACCATTCATAACCTCATCACCTCAGGTGACCTCCCACCCATAGCCACCAACCTTATCATTGCCCAACCCCACACTGTCCATTTCTGTCTCCTTCCCAAAATTCACAAACCTGACTGCCCCGGCTGCCTGTTCCTGCCCCAGCCTCATTCAACTTATCTCCACTTACTGTGACTGTTTTCCCCCCCGGTTAGGGAACTCCCCAGCTACGTTCGGGATACCACCCATGCCCTCCACCTCCTCCAAGACTTCCAATTCCCTGGCCCCCAACACTTCATCTTCACTATGGACATCCAATCCCTGTACACTTGTAACCCCACACGGATGGTCTAAAAGCCCTCCGATTCTTCCTCTCCCACAGGTCCAAACAATCCCTCTCCACCAACACCCTCATCCGCTTAACTGAATTCATCCTTACCCTTAACAACATCTCCATGAATTCCTCCCACTTCCTATAGACTAAAGGGGTGGCCATGGGCACCCGCATGGGCCCAAGCTACGCCTGCCTCTTCATAGGATATGTAGAACAGTCCCTCTTCAGCTGCTACACTGGCACTATCACCCACCTCTTCCTCCGCTACATTGAAGGCTGTACTGGCGCTGCCTCAGGTTTCCAAGAGGAGCTTGAACACTTCATCAACTTGACTAACACCTTTCACCCCAACCTCAAATTCACCTAGACCATCTCCGATACCTCCCTCTCCTTCCTGGACCTCTCTATCTCCATCTCTGGTGACTGCCTCAAAACTGACATCTATTTCAAGCCCACCAACTCCCACAGCTACATGAACTACAACTCCTCTTACCCACCTTCCTGCAAGAGTGTGATTCCCTACTCCCAATTCCTCCACCTCCGCTCCCAAGATGGGGCATTCCACTCCCGCACATCCCAGATGTCCTCCTATTTCAAGGACCATAACATCCCCCACCCCCTCCAGTGATCGAAAATGCTCTCAACTGCCTGTCTTGTGTTTCCCACACTTCTGCCCTCACATTCCCTCCCCCAACAAAAATAAAGACAGAATCCCCACTGTCCTCATATCACCCCACCAGCCTCCGCATCCAACATATCATTCTCGACCACTTCCGCCACCTACGATCCAACCCAACAACCAAAGAGATATTTCCCTCTCCACTCCTACCTGCCTTTCATAGGGACCACTCCCTCCACAACTCCCTCATTCGCTCCCCACTAACCCCACCACCCCCAGCAACTTTCTCTGCAACCACAGGAAGTGCTACACCTGTCCCTACACCTCCAATTCCAGGCACATAACAAACCTTCCACATTAGACACAGGTTCACCTGCACATCAGTCAGCTTGGTCTACTGCATCCGCTGCTCCAAACGTGGCCTCCTCTACGTTGGTGAAACCAAGCGTAGACTCGAAGACCATTTCGTAGAGCATCTATGCTTTGTACACAACAAATGACAACACCTTCCGGTCACAAGCCATTTTAACTCCCACTCCCTGGGTGACATGTCCATCCTAGGCCTCCTCCAGTGTCTCAATGACACCACCCACAAACTGGAGGAGCAGCATCTTATGTTCCACCTTGGGGGCCTACAGCCCGATGGCCCAAACATGGAATTCACCGGTTTTAAAATCTCCCCACCCCCGGCACCATCCCTGCCTCTCCCCCTCCCATCCCTGCCTCCTTAACTTGACACAACCTGTCCATCTTCTCTCCCGCCTATTGACCCTCCCACCTCACTGACCAATGCCCACCACTCCCTACCTGCTATCACCATCCCACCTACCTTCTACAGCCCACCCCTCTATTTATTTCAGAGCTCCCTTCCCCCTCCCCCATTTCTGAAGAAGGGTCTCGACCTGAAATGTCAACTTTTCTGCTCCTCTGATGCTTTCTGGCCTGCTGTGTTCCTCCAGCTAAACACTTTGTTATCGCTGACTCCAGCATTTGCAGTTCTTGCTATCTCTTATGTTTGAACTTGAAATGTTTGAGTTGGTATAGAACCTACCATTGAGGGAAATGTTCAGAGATACTGAACTATTTCATGAGTAAATCCGGTTTGATTGAAATCCTGCTACTACATATCTAACTAATTACTTAAAACAACACTAATCTTCTCTGAAACATTACCAAAGCAGTCAAATTGTAAACGGCGTAAACCAACTTCTCCATAATATAAAATTCACGAAACCAGTGTAACGAAAAAACTGCACCAACACACAGGAACATAATAAATAAAGGACACAACCTGCTTAACTCAGATTACAATCATTCCGCACCTTGCTCCCATTGCCGGAAGTTGTAAAAAACGTAACCGTAATTTACTGGAAAACAGGATTCGTCGCTGAGCATGCGCAAATGACCCATAACTCCACTTAGTCTTCCAGGCAGCGCCGACTGGCGGCGAGGATGCGTTTCCATTTAAAAGGCCATTTCGATAGTTTTTTTAATTCAGCGTCTTTCATGACACAGGACATCTTACATGATTTTGAAATGTTTCACACAGCAATCAATTTGGGCACAACATGTTCCAAAACCAATCATGCGATAATGAACAGACAATTAATTTCTCTAATGATTAAGGGACACCTCTTTGAAATGGTGAAATGAGATATTTTAGAGGCATCTGAGAGAGCAGACACGATCTTGGTTTTAAGATCGGAACAGTACTGAAAGTACAGCAACCCTCAGCATTGTACTGGAGGATCGGTGTAAATTTTTGACCCCAGAATGGCAGCCCTGTGACATAGAGGAGATTGACTGTCAAGTCACGGCTGACAACTACACGATACTTTCAAAAAGTATGCTGGTATATTGCAAAGCAACAGAAGCCAGTACAGACCGATGTATGGCACATCTATCATGTAATTTAACACATGATCTCAGTACTTTGCAAATCAATCTGCGTCAAATGTTTCATAACTATGTGCGTGAAACGTTTGAATGGGTACTGTTCATGCGAAGGTCATGTATTTGTTTTTGCTGGTTACCTCCTGACTTTCTGTTCTCTTCTGAAAGTGTTCACTATTGTTTGTATTTGAGTACACTACATTCATCCATTAGTAAGTTATCAAAATAAAATAAAACGTTTAGGTTGGCTGTCTAATTAATCTGCAACACAAGAATTAGTGTTTAGACCTCTCACGATCTATAATCCATGTTAGAGACAACAAGGTGCAGGGCTGGATGAACACAGCAGGCCAAGCAGCATCATAGGAGCAGAGAGGCTGACGTTTCGGGCCTAGACCCTTCATCAGAAAAGCTATAATCCATGTTATTGATTCAACATGTGTGGGCTGCCTGTAGTCTTTCCAAGCCTGCTGACAAGCTAGGTAGAAAACTAAGTTGTACATTCAAAATCACTGCAATCATCAAACTGGAGTGATCTTCATTCTCTTCACACATGACAGATGTGCCATATATTGCTCTGTATTGGGTTGTGTTGCTTTGCAATCCACTACCATGATCAGGAATGCCATTGAACTGGTATCTGGGCAACACCATTCATACTTGCCTTTCGAATATAAGTTGTGTTAAGGATTGTAACCCTTTCTCCATTGATGTTGCCTTACTGCTTGAGCATGGATAATGGGGTAATGAAATGATACGGGTCACTCTCCACGTAGCACATGTGGTTATGGAGGTCCTTCTACTGCTAGGGTTGATATGTTTGGCGTGCCTCACATCTGTTCACAAGTCATTGAATATCCCAATTAATCTCCAGCAACTACACAGATTCACATACTTACAATCTTGGTGTTCAATACTCATGTCTCTCTGGTATAACAAAGGCTTCATATTTTGGTGTAATACTTTTGCTATTAGGACAAGTTTGTTCTTGATGACTTATGATACATCAAGTGGGCCTCTATTTGGCCAAAATGAACAAGTCTTCTCAGGCACTTCTTTAATATTGTTAGACCATCCTTAGATAATAATTTTTTGCAACTCTCATAGCTGCTCAGCTTTGGCAGTTATCCACTACAATTGCTCACACAGGCTTTCATCAAAGTGTAACAGATCAATCTTGAGAATCATCAACTTCATTGTTTAGAGCATCAATCCATAGATCAGTCAGAATATCTCGGTCATTGTGGGCATTAGCAAATCTTCCCAGCGTGTTGGATGTAATCAGCCTGATATCTGGCTTATATCTCATTTCAGTGCCATATCCTTGAAGATCATTGACTAGTTTGATTGCACTGTGAGTGGTTTGGTATGATAAAGTGGGTGTGGTTTGAATCTCAAAGTATTATACTGAGATATGTTCATACAGGTAGTTATCTTATAATGCAATAGTTGCGTTCTTGTGTGACCTCAAGCTATAGAAAATCGTGCTATAGAAAATCGCCATAGAAAATCGTGTTATATGGAAATCGCTATACCTGTACAGCAGAAAGTTTGTGTTATCCAAACAGCGTCCACTATTCATCAATCGCGTTATAGCCAATTTGCGTCAATGAAAGACGCGTTATAGCAGAATTACTTGCCACTGCTGGACCACTGGTATCTACCAGGTAGAAGATTTTGGGAAGCCAAGATGAGTTTGCATATTAGCACTGCACTGTGATTCCTCCAATGCATGGAACTGGCGGTCCATGGAATTACATATATTGTGGTGTCATAGAGGTGAGGTCAACACCTCTCTGATAATTAAAACTGAAAAACTCAGAGAAGCTTGCCTCACCTCGTAATCTGTTAAAGAAAGTGTGAAAAGTGGTACAACCTGCCTTTCACCACCAATCTGTTATAAAGGAATGGTTAAATGAAAGAAATCCCTGATACTCACTTTATAAGCAACAAGTGATGATTTATTCATCTAACTCTAACAGTGAACAAATTAACAGAACTACTAACAAACCAAACAATTCCCCTCTTAACTGCTAACTAATCCCAAATAAAACAAAATTCAAATGCTATGATAACAAGGTGTAGAGCTGGATGAACACAGCAGGCCAAGCAGCATCAGAGGAGCAGGAAGGCTGACGTTTCGGGCCTAGACCCTTCAAATGTTATGCTGTTCCAATAAATACAAGTCCCACTTATATAAAGTAAAGTAATAAAAAAAAAACTTAGTATCTCGAAATTACAGCCAGGATAAGTCTTCCAGAATGTTCTTCGTCTTCTTTGTTGTTTTCCATTTAGGAATGTCTTTCTCAGTCGAATTGTTGTCTCAGGAATATTAGCTGAGTGCCGTTGTACCTTTGTTTAGATGCTGCTTACTCTGAGAGCTTAGAGGTTTCTGTGACACCCAGTGAGTTTCTCTTCAGATGGCAGTTCACTCCCACACCGATTTTCAAATACTCTCTTCTTTTATACCCTTGATGACCTATTAATTTCTTCCAACAGGATTGGTCCTATGTTGTCAAAACTATCAGTTTTAAATTTAATTGGGCTTTGTATCTAGGGCCTCGTTTAAATTAATTGGCTAAATTCAAAAACTGTTTGTCTTGGTAAAAATGCTGTTTTGCCTGCTAACAGTCTAGCCTTTTGATACATTGTTTCAATTTCAAGTACTCTCCATTCATCTGCTGCTGCCTGCCGACATTTTTGTTTAATCTCCAAGTCTAAAAAACACATCATCTTTTAAAGGAACCACACACCTTTCCCCCCTATCATTTTATAAACAGCAAAAACTCCACCCAACTTTGCAACAGTGGTATGTTTTTCAGGATGTGTAGTGGTTGTATGTTGACACTGGTTCCCATGTCAATTTTAATCTTTAGTGTGTGTTGTCCTACCTCTTCAGGCCATACAATATAAATGGTTGTAAAAGTTTCTGATCACCTAAGATTGTTAACATGGTGTATGAGGTTAACAATATGGAAAGCTTGGCATTTTCTGAAATTTGCCTTTCGTGCAGTTGACTCAGAACCTCAACAATGCGTTCGCATTTGTGTATATTAACACTTTCCTTGTTGCCAGTGTAACAGTGTTACATCATGTTTTTGGTCATCTGTACTTTGTTTTGGGAAATGTCTTGGCCTTTGGAACTGTATTTCCTGCATGTACATATCCAGTGACCCATGGTATCTGAAATAACTCCATAGAGGCCAGTATCCCATTACCAAGTCGCACTTAATTTACATGTGGAGAGTCCTTGACACTGATCCAGCTCCCTGAACAGAACCTCTGACACTGCTGTTTATATCAAATGTTTTACAGGTATCCAAAGTTGTTGCTTAAGTGTGACCTGCTGGCTATTGCAATAGTGCTAGTTGCACCAATGCATGTAATTGTTGTTGGCCTGTCACTATGGCTTCATACTTGGATCCATCCTCAAGTAATGCATCAATACATGGCCCAAAAGATACTTTCTAACAATTTTAATCGGGGTAGAAGTGACAACAAGCTCAATATACCTGTCAGTTTTTCTTCAGAAAGTCACATTCACACCCTTTGCTGTAGCACTTCCGTCCAACTGGTCAATACACTCTTGGTTGCCTTCTGTGTGACGTAAGTTGGAGTCTAATAATTCTGAAGTTAGTTCTTACCTTGAGTTGATCTTTGGAAATTTCCAGAATTTTTCTGGATCTTTCTGACTGTCCATTGAACGATTGAAAATGTTAATCCTGGAAAGCCCATAATTGACAATGGCAAGCAGGATCTCTTGAGCTCTTTTCTTAGGATAATCGATTGTTTTGTCTGTAAAATAGAATTTCAAATGTTGTTTGAACAGTTGTAATTTAGTAAGTGTGTCACTGGATGCCCAATTGGTTCCCACCTTTTGAACCTAGCCCTTCCCCTGAGGGGTGGTGACCCTCAGGTTAAAGCACCACCAGTCATCTCTCTCTAATGAGAGAGCAGCCCTATGGCCCTCTGGGATTATGGTTATAATAAATTATTACTTATGTGTCAACTATCAAGAACAGAGCATTATAGCCATCAGGTTTTTTGTGCTGCCCGGCGCTGGTTTTGTGTTCCAACTCAAGAGTGCATTTCAGTCTTTTTATTATCATTCAGAAAATTCCTTTATCTGGAAATAACTACATTCTAATCGAAAACAAATTAGCTCTATTTCTTGCTGTTTAATGCCAGATCTATACAGGAACTAATGCTGTTCAAAGGCGAGGAACTCTCCGTTTTGTCTGAATTCTCCATTGTCCTGTTGGTCTTCGGTTAGTTTTCCAAATATCTACCAGCGAGATATTGGAGTTTTATCCAGACTGTCACCACTCCAAAAGGGTGTTTTACCTGATGGGGC